TTATCCCCTACAGTTTTTTTAAAATATGAATGGGAAGGTTTTTTTTTCTCTTGTACAGTTTTGTAAAAAATGTCAAATAAATTCAAACCTTGTGCAAACACTGTGGAATAAAATGTACCACACTGTAAAAAGTATGTGTCACGCTACGGTGGAATGAACGCACGAAGAAGATGAAGATCAATGCAAACAGTCTTTTAATAAATCCACAAGAGGTTAAATCCACGACAGACAGGCAGGAGACACACGTAGGGACGTAGAAGACGGGACAACCAAACAGTGAACTGACTACAACTTAAATAGGGTAGCTAATGAGGGACAGACAGGTGAGGATGATTAACAAGACACAGGTGAACTAACTAATCAAAGAGAGACAGAAACTGGGTCAATGAACACATGAGGGATGAAAACACAACAAAAACAGTTCTGGGGTGTGACAGTTCGACCCTCTCCCGAAAGGTGCGACCTCATGCCGCAGAGACAAAGGGAGGGATGGAGGGGGACTTAGGAGGAAGACAAAGGAGTGGATATGGGATGGTGACAGGGGACGGCAACGGAGGACGGACACCCGGGAGGAGGACGACGAACAGAGTCCAGGATGGAGACGACGGAAGAATGAGCCATGGAGGAAACAGGAGGAGCCAGGGCGGATCAGATAGAGGAAGGAGCCAGGGAGAAGACAGGAGGGAACAGGAGGAGCCAGGCGAGACCCTGACCCCAGCCAGGATGGTGGCCCATGGTGGAGCCGACGGAGGGAGGAGCCATGGTGGAGGAAGGGCTGACGGCTCCAGGGGGTCGACCGACGGCGGCGGAGCAGGTGGTGGTGGAGCCCGGGGTGGAGACGGAGAGCCGACGAGCCAGGGTGATGATGAGGATCCAGAGGGCCAAGGCGGAGCAGATGGCTCCGGCGACCAAGGCGAAGGCGGGGATCTGGAAGGCCGCGGTGATGCCAGAGCAACAGAGGGCCAAGGTGGAGCTGGAGGGAAGGAGGAGCCTGATAGAGCCAGAGGGACGAGGCGCAGCCGGAGGAGTGGAGTCCCGAGGCAGCGGATGGTCGACAGCTGACTAAGGTGGAGCCGGAGCCGGAGGGACGAGGGAGCACGGCGGAGCTGGTGGACTGATGGGCCACGGCGGAGAGGACGGAGCTAGGAGCCATGGTGGAGCCGCTGGGTCAATAGGCCGAGGCGGAGTCCAGGATTCAGAGGCCGGAGGCAGAGACAAGGGATTCTCCAGCCATGACGCTGGAGACTATGGAGACTGGCAGACCCACGCTGATCCCACCGCACAGATGGTGAGCTGAGGGGCTGACAGGAGACAGCGGAGGCTCTGGTGAGGACTGGTACAGAGGTGGTGGGAGAGGGAGACTGGGCAGGAGTTCAGGATGATCAGGGGAATTTGAAACGGTGTGTGCTGCCCACACACACCACAAGGCCCCTTCCAGCACAGTGAGCGCCAGTGACAGGGTAACGACCTCCAGACAGACAGTTCAAAACAGACAGTTCAAATACGACCGTGGTGGTTTCAGGACAGAGAGATGATTCAATCACGACCTCTGTGGTCGTGACGGGACAGACAGATGATGATGGCAGGAGAAGACAAGGCATATTAGAGCTGTAATCGGGCCTTAAAAGTTAGGCCCGACAGAATTCGCGCTAATCGAAACGCATCACATGACCGCTCATTTACCGCGCAAGCCGGAGCGCAAGCCCGAGCCCGGCCCGAGCCCGTGTAAAATTATATAAATTAAGCCCGAACCCGACCAAACCCGTCGGGTCCCGGCAAAGATCTTCAGCTCTAAGGCATATTCTCATAAATATACTCTGAGCACAACCTCAGCTCACCTCTAGCGGTGGTGCGGTGGGCGGGGCTATCTTCTGTGCCCTTGCTCCCTACTGACACTTCCACCTTTGCGTGCCTAGCAGTCGGCTCGCACACCTAGTCTGATGATCGTGGCTCTGGTTCTGGGGCGATCCTCAGCTCTGTCGCACTCCTAGGTGATGGCTTATCGGTTGCGGCGGGCTCTGGCTCTCCGTCAGCGGTGGGCTCAAACTGCTCCGCGAAGCGGGGTGATGGCTGGTTGAGCTCAGGGTCAAACATAATGAAACAAAAGAAAAACTAGCCAAACAAAAAACAAAACGCGGGAACACACGCCGCGCACTTTCACTTCTAGGTCCGGTCTTCTGTCACGCTACGGTGGAATGAACACACAAAGAAGATGAAGATCAATGCAAACAGTCTTTTAATAAATCCACAAGAGGGTAAATCCACGACAGACAGGCAGGAGACAGGGACGTAGTAGACCGGACAACCAAACAGTGAACTGACTACAACTTAAATAGGGTAGCTAATGAGGGACAGACAGGTGAGGATGATTAACAAGACACAGGTGAACTAATTAAAGAAAGACGGAAACTGGGTCAATGAACACATGAGGGATGAAAACACAACAAAAACAGTTCTGGGGTGTGACAGAATGATTGTAATGGCAAAAGACTGCAAAAATGCTACAGTAAAAACCTGCTCATTTGATTAACAGTAAGATCCTCCTTACTATACACAGAGCTAACTGGACAGTTTTTGTAATTTTACACTAAAAGAACGAGCCATCTTATAATTAACAGTGAAAAAACGTAAATTGACATTCCCAGATTCCCTATATAACACTTCACATTTAAAGGTTTTTGATAATTATGTTTCTTTGTTTTATTAACATTATATTAGTTTATATTAAATTTATGCTCAAACCATAAAGCTTAAAATGTTGCTACTATATTTTTAAGGTAATACCAACTGCTGTTTTTTACCGTAAATTTTACAGATTTTTTTCACAATGTAGTATAATGTAATACTGTCATTACACATTGAGATGCATCAAAACTGACAGTTACATTATAGCCAGTTTCTGATTTTCTTTAAATCTTCTTTTGTTTTGAACTTGAATGTATAAATGAGGGGTAGTTTCACATTTTACTCTTGTGAATATGTGTCAGGGTAAGTTATTTTTCCCATAAAGTCAAACTCTGTGTAGACACAAACCGTAAAATCTTAACCACAAAAACCTACTGAACATTTCCACCGTTACTGGCCAGGAAAATAGACACCTTTTGTAATGCCCCAATACATGGACATTTGTCTCACTATATGGGGTCAGATATGTCTACAGTATGTCTATAGTGTACAAAATCATTTCAAAACAGCAAGAAAAAAATCCAGTTTTTTATGATATGAACTTTTCAATGCTGGCAAAAGCTGTCTCTTGAAGTGTAGGCCAGAGAATAAATCAAAGGAAATGTCAGGGGTTAGGGCATCATTTGGGGGTTGTTTATGAGTGCATTCAAGATGGGTTTGCTAGTGTCCTGCCTCGTATTTTTGAATGCGCACATGTGCCCAACACAAACAGATTCCATATGTGCTATGTGCACACAAAGTTCTTTAATGGACGATAAATGACCCCAGATTTAGACAAAAGGAAGAAGAAAAGGAAGAAAGCATAAAGACACAAAAGACATCAGCTGTACTAAGTAATTATTCCAAAGTTGACATTTACGATGTTTGATAAGATCATCCGAGCGCTTGGATTTACATGGCACTACAAAGAGGAAATGACCTAAGGTAAACATCCCCGTCTCAGCAGCTATCATGACCTCTGACCCGTCACAGTTTGCACGACGTGGCTGACGTGGCTATAATAGAGGGCGTATGTTGGGCTCTGCGATGTTAAATATCTACACTGTTTAAAATAGTTTCCAAAATTGTGTTTTTGCAGTAATGCCATAGAAGAACCATTTTTGGGATCTTAAAAGAACAGTTTTTTTTTTTCTTAGTGTGAAGAACATTTTAATAACCCAATGTACCTTTTGTGCAATGTAAAGGTTCCATGAATGTTAAAGGTTATTCATGGAACCGTAAATGCCAATTAAAACCTTTAATTTTAAGAGTGTACTGTACAGTATTTTAGTGCTTTCTTTATTGATCTCCACAGAGAACTTTGACTTGTACAGCAAGGTTGCTGTTAACACATGCATAAATTGTTTTCCACTGTGGTAACCCATACCTTCTCCTCAAAGTCATAAATGTAATCCTTGATCAGGATCAAACATACTTTTCCTATCCTGCTGGGTCACTTCTTCCTCATAATATCCTGCAGCGAGGAAGGGGGAGGATGACTGATTTTTCCTGCTTATTTAATCTATTTTAGAGCTGGGGATTATCAGCAGAAAGCAATATAAATCATTTATTACACTGTCTATATACACTACTACTAAAAGTTTTGAATATTTATTAAGTTTTTATGTTTTTGAAATGAGTCTCTTAATGCTCACAAAGGCTTAATTTATTCTGTCAAAAATACACTAAAACAGTAATATTGTGAAATATTATTACAATTTAAACGTTTCTATTTTCATATATTTTAAAATATAAAAATATTAAAAAATAAATGTATCCCTATGGTGGCAAAGCTAAATTTTCAGCAGCCATTACTCCCGTCTTCAGTGCTAATATGCTGATGCTTGGTTATACTGCAATTGGCAACACCAAAATGTGACAATGTGAAAAATTAATCAAGATACAGAATTAATCACAATATAGTGTTATTAAGATGGTCACTCTAGTGGTGACACGCACACACTATTTCCACCTGGCGTTTCAAATGAGTCTCTTGTAAGCACTTGTGTTCAGCTTTCATTGAGAAAACTAAGGCTAATGGCCATTAACAAAATTGCATGAGAAAAAGTATCAACATCCCTGCTATTGCACGTGATAAAAGCATTATGAAATCGTTAATGTACAGTTTACAATGTGATATGACTTCAGACAAGTTTGGCTTAAAAATCAGATGGACTGGTGTGTGAAGCCAAATCCAGCGTCATTGCTCAAGTGAAGAGAAGTGCTGAGTGAATGGATACATGTTGGTTCATATAAGTATGTGTTTGTGTGAGTGACAGACGGACAGAGAGAGCTTAAAAGAGGAAGAGCACAAGAGAACCTGTTGAGGACTTTACCTTCTTGTGAGGAACAGTTGTCTGAGTCATGGCCAGCTCAAAGCTGTGAGCTCCCGTCAGCTGTGTTTTCTCCCAAAGTTTCCTTAGCTGCTTAACACACTCATCTTGACAGCACAACGCCTCGCTCACTTTACTCTGCACACAGACATGATACAATGCTAGCTTGCCAAAATACACACTACTCATAATTAGTGGTGTTTGCTAAGGCAAGAATCACACTGACCGCTGCTCATGGTCAGATAAGATTAACCACTAAGTCAAAGTAATAAAATGAGGAACAAAGAAACACATTACAGATAATAGAACAAGTGAGAGATCAATTAGTATGCATTTACACTCAGAGACTTAATGCACAGATTTATTTAGTCCCATCTATTGTTATGGTTTCTATGTCAGTCATCACAATTTCTGATTCCATCACAATTTGAATACAGTTGTCATTTCCCAAACTCTGCAATGTAAACTTAGCAGCATGGGAAATAAAGCTTTTATTCAAATTGTGAATGGATTGGATACAGAAAGTGAGCAAAGATCACTTCTATCCATCACTTTAGTTTGGCGTGAGCTCATACAATAGTTCTTATAAATATATATTTAGAGTTTATAAATATATTAATATTATATAAGTATAATACATATAAAACATATTACATATTTTTAGCACATTATGTATATATAAATGAATCCAAAACACACTATTTCTCTACCCCAAAAAAAAAAAAAAAAAAAAAGCAGTTCTGGAGATGTTGTTCATGTATTTATGTCCTCATTAGTGAGACTGCAGAGGTTAATATCACCGGGAAGCATCACGAGTGTTTCAGTAGGAGTACTACACAAAACTGCGCGTCTGCGCCATTCATTAACACAGAGACACGCAGAATTCATATTTAAATATTAATCGTTTTGCGGCTTAATATTTACAAATACTAGTGGGAGTGGGCTCACTTGTGTGTGTGTGTGTGTGTGTGTG